TCATAAGAAAAAAGGGGACATCCTGCAGCCGTGTGACACCGAGTACCCCAGCTTCGTTTACGAGCCGTCAGTCAAAGAGACCAACAGCATTATTAAGTGTGGACGCTGCCAGAAGTAAGCAGACATATGCACACTCATACACACACAAATCTGCAGTGCACTCCTCTCTAAGCCCTGGACCAGTCATATTAAATTGTCCTTCTAAAATCCATTTTCTGCGGCTTTGCTCTGCTCTGCATACTAAAGCAGTGTGTGTTTATACAAGAGTATCAGGAAGATGGAAATAAGTAGAAAGGAACGAAATTAGATCAGGATGCACAGGGTTATAGAAAGATCGAGAAGCATATGGAGAGTGAGAGAGAGAGTCACTGGAAAAGTGAGAGAAAGTATTAACGGAAGTAAATGAAAAAGCAGAGATGGGGGAAGAGCGAGTGACAGAAACAGAAATGGGCAAAACAGTGGGAGGCAAACAGAAGGGAAGAGGAGAAAGAGAGGGAAGCATCACAGCATGTGTGTGTCTTTGAAAAAGAGAGACACAGAGAAGCACTGTAGTTCTGTGGTTGGTCTGTATTATTTCAGCAGGTTTGTGATCATATGTTGGGTGTGAACGCCCTCATGAGGCCAAAAGAGGCGTGACACATCACAGACACTGCTTTTTTTTTGTCCCTGTGCTGGAAAAGATCTAGACATTTTGAGTGGAGTGTTTTGGTTGACAGTATTACCCACTGCCACCAATTGATGCCATTGACTAAATCTGTATTTTTTTCTCATAAATGTATGACTCATGAATGAGTATGTGATTTTTGTTGTTGTTGTTGTTGCTAATTTATTATTAGTATTATTTATCATTTGTGGGGTGACGTATCTCCGACTGAAAAATGTGTTAATGTCATACATGACATGGGAGGTTTTATATCTCAGTGTTTTTGTTTGTGTGCACATTTTCACATTGATCTTCTCGTGTGTGTGCGTGTGTGTGCGTGTGTGTGCATATGTGTGCGTTTGTGTTGAGATGTGTGCGTTTGTGTGCATGTGTGTGCGTGTGTGTGCGTGCGTCAGGATGTTTGTGGTGCAGCAAATACCAGAGAGCAACCTTTTGATGCTGGTGGTTCAGGCGGACTGTGACTGCTCCAGACAGTACGGACCGCTCACCTTGGAGCCCAAAGAAGTCAAATATATCCTTTGATATCTTGGTATTCACTGAGCATCTTGAGAAATTAACATACTTTTTGGATATGGTAGAGCAGTTGATATTTCACTGCATAACTCATTGGCATGTTAGTCACGTTCCTTACTTTATCACTTTTAAAAGTACAGCATCATTATGTGTTCCTAATGACCAAAATGTACCAATAACCATAATCAGTTTGCTGCCCTTTTTGTCTTTGTCCAAAATGAATTCCCTTTGTACTGCACTCCCTGTTGCTGCAAACTCCTGCTCTGGAGAGGGTGTGGACAATAAGCAGGAGTTGTTAATGTTGCAACAAAGACATGATCCCTCACTGGCTTCCCACATGTGAACATTATAATAGTGTTTTGATAAGGCTTTTCCCCTTGCACCATGCTTGACTCACTCATTGTATTACTTAAACTGATTTTTGCAGCTGTACATTTAGTTCAGATTGAATTGGTACAAATTGTGAGCCTGCCATGGTATTTCTCTGTAATATGTTCTTTACATTGCAAAAATCCTTGTATTAGTATTTGAATGAGAATGCAAGAGAAACCTCTGTTGTTGTTACGCCTTGACCGCCCTGTACATAACGCCTCAGTAAAGTGTGACAGGATGAGGTCGCAGAAGATTCGCAGACGGCCCGAGTCCTGCCACGCCTACCACCCGCAGGTCAGATTCTCATTGGTCCACTACATCTGCAGCCAGTGTACACCAGCTTTGACCGAGCATTGATTTCAGTTAAAATTTTATTAAATTATTAACTTGTTCAGGTTGACATGCAATTGTTTTTTCATGGCACACATTGTCATAATATATATATGTCCCTCCTCTCTAAATTTACTATCTTCTTATTCATATATTTATTTATTCAATGTTTGATGACATCATATTAGTATAAAAATGGCTTGAATCATGGAAGAAACTCAAAGTGAAATCATTTTCTGTTTTGTCCCTGTAGGAGAACGCCAATGACTGCGGACGGGCTTCTTTTATATCTCTCTCAGCCTCTCTCTTCATTATCTGTGTCTCCTTCTCGGCACTTGTCTCCTGATGATGGACAACTCTGCTGTTTCATATAAAGGAGGAGATTGGAATAAATCAAGAGATGTGTTTGGACACTGGACACCTCAAGTGGATTTTTTATAAAAACAAATCTAATCCTGCACAATTTGCTCATGAGCTCACAAGCCTGGTCCCTCCTGATGGACGTTTCATGTGCTTTATGAGCATTTGTTGGTTAATACATAGAAATCAATAAATCTGAAGTGAAAACTGCAAAGAAAGCAATTTAATCGGCTGTTGTTGCCATGGATACTTTTCCTTTAGTTACTTTCTCACATACCACTTTGGAACTTAAAATGAAATGGGATTAAAGAGAGATGCTGGTGGTGGCTATGATGTGCATTGGTAAAAGGGGATTGTGAGTCACAAATGCAACATAACAAAGTCCAGGGGGGAAAAAATGTTTCTCATTTCCCATATCGCACTATATTGTGTGTGGCAGACACACGTGCATATTATATATGCGGCCGCAAGCATGCACACCATCAAAACACACACATCCGATATTTATCATCCACAATGCTTTATTTACAGGCTTTGCTTTTTTTAATGTTGAATAATATCCACTGAGAGAAGGGCTACAGCAACATGTGGGGAAACATTGTTGTGTTGCTGGTGAGAGTCATGTTTTACAAGATTGTTTGCAATATTAATGGATGATGGACAATGGATGAGAGTATGGCTCAGTGCCTAGGAAGTGGTCACAATGGAGCTAGACAGAATTTAAGGTAAGTATAAAAATGTAATAAAGATCATAAGAATGGGGATTGTCAGCCCCTTGGGGATCTCATTTTTGAGTTTATACTTTGATGACTTCCCAAAAATATTTGTTTCTTTAAAAGATGTCTGTCTGCCTTTCTGTCTTTATCAGCTGTGTCTTTCTCTGTGTTTGTACATACTGTCTGTAATTACGTTTGTCTGTTCGGCTGGACATGTAGAAACTGCAACTCCCACAGAGCGTAGGTCTATGATCAGCATGGATAACACAATGATAGACTAAGGTTCAAAATGTATTCACATTTTTTTTTTTTTTTTTTTGAGATTTAAAAAAAATGCATATACATGGTTTCAGTCTGCATGTGTTTACCACAAATGATTATTTGCACTTTTACAAACATATGTGAAACAAAGAATTTTACTTTAATGCGTTTACTTGAGACTGTGGTTTTGTAAGCCCTCAATGTCATGCATCCGCTACTTATTTCTGCCATAAATAACCATAAGATTTAATAATTTCATGATAAAATGCAAAATAATAGGTAGCACTCACTCTGAGAAACAACATTGTCATAATTATGGAAGAAACTTAGTCATAGCTTAATTTTTGAAAATGTCACATTGATACAGTACATATGTAATTGCAATGTAAATTTATCTTGTAAATCTAATGGCATAGGGTATTTTTGTATACATCTGCTTATGTGTTTCATATTCTTGACTGCATTGCTCAGCATTTCATTGTATTTTGGGCTGTGAGTGTCCCTGTAGCTTTTTCTATAATATTTTTCATCTCACAAAGCATGTCTATGAATTGAACTGATTCTGATGACAAAATTGCCTGAGATTTTTGCCTGGTTATGTAATAGACTCAGATACATATTGTGCGTGTGGGTGTGAATCATTACAGTATGTTCTGTTGTTGCTGGGATTATGAGAGTAATTTGATTATTTGTTCCATATTTGTTTGTAATTTCCACTATACAATATCCTGTGTATTGTGTGGTTGACATGTCCACGTTGTATGTTGGTTGACTGAAGCCATGATTTGTACAAAGCAAATTAAATTATCCTTATGGTTTTTCTACTGTAATTGTTGTCAGTGTGCATCAGTGATTATTGTGTTGCACAAACATGGATGCAGGTAGCAGTACCAGACTAAAAGAGGGTCAGTATAGCAATTGTTGGAAAATACAGACTCATGTCATGATTGTATGAAAAATCAAAGTGAAGTGAATAGTTTTTGGACTTCTTTTTTAATACGGAAGTCAGTTAATCTGTCAGTTCCATCCATAGGTACCAAACAAACAGTTAAACTTTTATGCTTTAAATTGACATCAGCCAAAAAAGTGGTGTAAGAAGAGATAGCAGAAAAATGGACCAAAGTTATTTACACTTCTTACATTGTTTGTGATAATGGACAAATGTCCTGCTTGGCTCTGTGCTGAAAGTCAACTAGAGAGTGAGATTTTGTTGAATAGTAATCCAAAGACTCAGTACTGCAACAACAAAATGTTCTTAAAAACAACTATCACATAATTTTTTAATCTTAAATCCAGTTTCCTCCAATGACAATACAGACTTTTAGAATTTCAGAAGACAGTAGAATAAAGAAACTGCTCACCTGCAGAATGATTTTGTGATAAACAATGACAATGATGGCAGGTTTGTTTTTTATTTGACATACCCCTGTCAGTCTTTCAGATATCACATTCATAGTACATTTAAGTATATTGGCATTTAGTATATTCATGGTATAATAGTATAAATTAAACTTTGGAGGCCCATTTCTGTCAAAATTATGAGATAGTGAGAAAAGTCAAAAGTTAAAATTTCTATCTCAGGAAGTCAAAACAGTTCCCTTAACAATCCATAACATTTCATCCTTTTCCATTTAATAATGAGTAGAATACATTACGTTCTGCAAGTACTAGTGCGTTTTCGGATATAATCTAATGTTTTGTAATGACTGAGGTGGGCCAGCAGGGACTTGTTCTTCCCTCTCTGACTCATTGTTTGTGGCTCACTGTTGCTCTGTACCGCCGGGCGGAGAGCGAGAGACGGGCCAGAGGAAAATGGCGGACGGTGTGGATCACATCGACATCTACGCCGACGTAGAGGAGGAATTCAACCAGGTATTAAATCCTTATCTAGCACATTTCGACTAATGGTGCTATTTTCTGTATGTGTGTGTAATCCCGTCTTGTTATTATAACGAAAAAATGGCGTGCTCTGTTGGTTAAAAGACCCCCTCTCGCATATAGGCCTACTTTCACCATGCTGCAAGCCTGCAGCCTTAGCTAATATTATCGACTCGAAATGTTTAATTTGTGGTGTTGTCGGTATTTAACACACCGTGGGATGCATGAATTAATCGATGTGCTATATGCAAAGATTGTTTCTCTATGGGTGCATGCGAAATGCAGCCGCTTTCATTGTTCAGCATTCACAGTTTCAGGCCTCAGCATGGCCGCCAATGGCGGGTTAGAAACAAACACAGTTGCGCTAGCTAGCTAAGTGTTAGCCACTTGCTGCCTTTTTAAATAAGTAGTTCTTTGTGTTGTTAGTTTATAGAAAACGAACTTTGGGTTGGAAGGAACTTAAATTGAAATGTTGAATGGTTAGGTATGAAACGGAAAATGTATGAATGAGAAGCTCAATTAATGGATGTATAAGTTGTTAGTTTGACTGCTAGCTTCGTGTAGCATTTATGTGTTTGCTCGGTACATGTTGTTTTCTTCTTCCCACACACGCCCCTTTAGTGTACAACTAGAGGAGGCCACATTAGCTTAATCTTGGGTGCAGTTTGTGTTGTTTGTAGGTTATCTAGAGTAAAAAAATCTCAACGACATAACATTAAAGTTGTGTTACGTTCACCCATTGTGCATATTGTGTAGAAGCATTCTGCTGCTCATGCATTGAGTTCCCGAAGTAGCACCACTTGTGGTTTCTGTCACGAGCTCCTTCTGTTAAACAGTTAAACCTGAACTCAAAAAAGCAGATGCATTCGAGGGTTAATTAGAGATATGTCATGCTGCAACATAAAAGGAAAAACGTTTGTGTGTTTGTTTGTATATCTAAAGTTAGTGAAGACTTCACTTTGATTATTTTATTTCACTGACTCAATTTAGGTTATGTGCGAGTTACACTGTGACAGGAAGGTAAACAAAATCTGCCCTTCACTCTGCTTGAGACTAGCTTATCCTGACATGACTGACTCAGTGACTATGTCCACACTTCCCCATGAGTGTCTGCAATGCTGGGAATGCATTTACGCAATGACTGTAATTGCTCCAATAACCTGTTCTACATAAACTCAGGTCAAATGACTATATAAAATATGACTGATGTGCTTTAAGGAATATAGGTGTGTTCACAAGGTAACACTAAGATTCAGTATACTGTGGATTAGACGATCAGATTTAAGTGTTTAAAAACAGGCCTAGTTAACAGTTTTGCGGTGTGCAAGAGTGTTTAATGTAATATAACAGCACATACCACAACAGTGTGTGAGCAATAAAACTAACCAAAATGTATTTATCATTATTGATTATGAATAAAGCCATAAATAAAAAGATTTCTTTCGTGAGTGTAATATCATACAGATATATCCTTTATGTGTATTGCTGTAATGATTAGCCTGTTTTGTGCATGTGTGAGAAACAGCCTTTGCTTTTTATATAGCCATGGGCTGTGAATTGTCAACATTAAGAAGTTACCATACCACTTGACCTGGACTGACAGAGACTAATAGCCCAGTGGGTCAAAATCAAAAGAAAGACATTTTCTTGAATTTAGACATAAAATAAGTAAAATGATTTAAATGAAGTCAAGTGAAACATACTGAATAATAAAAACATTATTGATTCTATGTGTTTTGGTACTAAATATCACTGTGCAGCTACCTCACATCTATTTACAGATGCGAACGGGTATAATCTGTTGTGGGAGTGCTCATAACATGTTTTAAGTGTTTGACCGGACTGTTGTTGTCATACTTAACAGGAAGCTGACTATCCAGTTCACGAGCAGATAGACCTGTATGATGATGTAATATCCCCATCAGCCAATAATGGTGATGCCCCAGAAGACCGTGACTACCTGGACACGCTGCCTGCACCAGGTGGCACAGAGGGAGGGAAGAGTGCCCCGCCCAATGTGGTGTACACCTACACAGGAAAAAGGATCGCCCTATATATAGGAAACCTCACATGGGTGGGTAGTAGAGAATTATTATATTTGTATAATTGGGGACTACCTAAATCACATTCTCTTAAATTGCAGGTTTAATCGTTACATGTTCTGTTAAGTAAACGCAGGTTGTAAAATATTACATAATGATCAATTTAATGAAGTCACTATGAATAAACAGAAGATGCTGTTTTCTGTTATGCAGTGGACAACAGATGAGGACCTGACAGAAGCCATCCGATCGATTGGCATCACAGATGTGCTGGAGATCAAGTTCTTTGAAAACAGAGCAAACGGGCAGTCCAAAGGGTGAGGTTTTTATTATCTGTGTGTCACATGATTGCACTCAATCACAGGTTATAATAATTACCTCTTGTAACATCCCAGGTTCATTTTGCCATTTTCATGCATGTCTTGTCATAATGCTGTTATAGTGGATACAGAGGGAAATGCATATGATCTTGGTGCAAATGATACATTTTATTAGGCCTGATTTTTTTGTGTCACTTTCAGCACAGATCCTTGTAGATCTGATGCAGTGCATTATGGAACAGTAGACTGTGAAATGACATTTGAGACCAGTTCTCTATAGTGTCAGAGTATTTTACCATTTTAAGATTAAAGCAAGAAGCCACACCAGTGAAAAATGACCCACACAAGTCAAGGTGAAGTGTCAAAGTCATCAGAAATTATACAAATCAAAAACTGAATAAATTCATTCTTGGAGGGTGAACTCTGATTTTCTGCACAAGTGTGATTTTATATGTCCTCTGCATGTGTCTCCCAGGTTTGCCCTGGTGTGTGTGGGCTCAGAAGCATCATCCAGGAAGTTAATGGAACTCCTATCAAAGAGGGAGCTCCACGGTCAGAATCCTATTGTCACGCCATGCAACAAACAGTCCCTCAGCCAGTTTGAGATGCAGTCACGCAAAAGTAAGTAGGACACACTTGGTGTCTGCATTGTTTAAGATGCACTCTGCAAGAGTTAACTAAAAGACTTGTCACAATGCTGGTCAAAACCAGTCATGTAAAAGTAAGTTGTACATGCTGTGACAAGTCAGTCTGCTGAAAGTGCAATTACGCTGCAGCATGTAAGTAAAATATATGGACTTCATGTACAGTCAATTATACCAGTATGTTGTCCTTCAGCTACTCACTCAGTCACATAACGTCCACAGCTCCACACACAGTACACCTCTTTCCTATTTATTAGATATTAAAAGGAAAAGTGAATGTTGCCTTATTATTTCACAGGTACCCAGTCAGGTCAGATGTCTGGGGAAGGTAAAGCCGGTCCCCCTGGAGCAGGCCCCCGTGGAGGTTTCCCCATGGGTCGAGGCAGAGGAAGGTTCCCTGGACCACCTGGCCCTGGAGGAGACCGCTTCCCTGGTCCTGTTGGGCCTGGAGGACCTCCACCACACTTCCCTGGTTAGTTTGGTAACAGGTGTTTGTACCAGAACGGTGGGGACAATGTCCCTGTCAGTGAAGTCAGTTTAAAGATAATATCTAAAGAGCGCAGATTCAGTAATCAGATGGAAGTTTTAGCAAGTTTATTCTATAGGAATTAATGTTCAACTCAAATACATGTCTAATGATACCAAGCAGTGAAGTTTTTGAATTTACTTGAACCATTTATAGCCTGAGTGTAGGAGGTATCAGGCTGTCATTAGAACAATGAAAGGTCAGTTCAGGCACTAACACTCACTGTAAATCACGAGCTGCCTCTTAATTTAATTTTGGCATTTCAGTAATTGTTTTTTTTTTACCTGATATGAGTTGGGAAAAAGGTTATAGGACCTTGTTGAATGTTAGATTGGCCCCGCCGTACTAAACAAGGTGAGTTCATGGCAGATGAAATGTTTGTTTCCTCTGCCAGGTTCTGGAAAATCAATCTGAACTCAATTTCTATTCTTAGATAAATTATTTTCCAGTTTCAGAAGTGGAGGCTAATTCATGGCTGGATGCGTTGGGAAGACATACACATCATGAGTCACAGTATTAGCTCACCACAGGATGTGTAATCTGATGTGTATGTATTGGTTTGCTCGGACTCACAGTTGGCAGTGGTCATGCTTTATCACCAGTTGAGGTTTATGTGTCAGTGGATTCCTGAATTAGCCTGGTATTGTTAAAAGCTGCCCTCCCCTATTATGTTGAATCTTATGTTTTTGTTTTCAGGCTTTTGTTGTTCATGTGGTGATATGCAATAATATAGTGCTGCATCATATTGAAATAATCATCATAGTGTGACAAGGGCCTTGAAAACATTACAGGAGGTTAATAAAATTGTGCTCTGTGTCTGGCAGTGCTGCTCTGTTAGCACAGTCCAGGCTTTGCTGCTACTCACGCCCGCATGGAACCAAGGCTAGTCTGTTGTAGTGCGTGTGTTTCTAGAGAGGGATCTCTCTCCCTTTAAATCTGTGCTGGCAGGGCTATGTCTTTGCATGTTTCCCTCCAAATCTTGTTTGTTCTTTTTTGTCCCTCTTCACTTCCAGTTGAACAAATAATCCCTCCCTGGCTGCAATTTGCTGCTCACTGACAATTTCCAACACCATTCCTTGACAAGCAGTTTGCTCAAAGCTTCACTTGGCAAGCTACCAGTTTTCAACTTCTTACAAATCTTGGATTGGCTGCCTTACACTTCCAGTAGGAAAGAATGGAGTTGCCAGCTTTTTCTTTTTTCCTTTTTTGCGTATTTGCCCTTCATCCCACTTTTTCGCATCTCTTGTTTCGCTTAGTGGCTGGTCCCCCGTGCTGCTGGGCTGTGAAAGTCCTTCAGTTGGTAGGCAGAAGTCTATGCAGGGAAGAGTTGTGATTGGTTTGCTTTCTTCCCCATTAGGCTCGGGGATGAGACCAGATCTGATTAGGCACCAAGATGGCCCTCTGATGGATATGAGTTTCAATCCCTTCCCGCCGGGGGGCAGGAACGGGAGCTGGCGTGGCAGAGGTGAAACACCTCGATTGATCTGGTTGATATGATCGATCGCCTTCTTATCCTAACCCTTAGCTGTTGATTGGTAGAAGTTGTGCCATTGACACCGTGAGGTTGACTGCCTCAGAAACAGCTGAATTTACCAACAAACATCTAAATCCCTAGACAGCTTGCATCAAATACTGTTGGCGATACATGAGGCTTGGGTAAATATTTTAATGTGTTCACACTATAAAATTTTAGAGAAGCACACCATTTAGAGATGTGCTCTGTTCAGGCAGAAGCAAGTTGTTTTGAAGCCCATACTGCAGTCTGCCTACTGCTTAGTATTTCTGTATGTCTTTTGCACCTCAGTCCACTAAGGATGTGTAGTTGACCCAATATGAAGAAAATACTTCCCTTTATATTGTTTTTGTAAAATTCCTTCATACAGTTGCATGACAGGTTTAATATGTGTCTAATGACAAAGCTGTGTAATCCCCATTAAGCCCTAAATGGCATCTCATGAGTGGCCCTTGTTTGGAATAGTCTATTTGGTAACTGCAATATATACGGTATGTCATATGTATGAGCCTGACATTTTGAACTTGGAAACTTATAGCAGTGCCCGCCTCTCAATTAAGTGCTGAGGAAAAAGAAGTCGGTGTTAAATGCAAACCTCAGATTAAAAAAAAAAATGCCTGCTTGACATAATTTGCTGTGAGTGTATCTCCTCATCTGTTCTGTTGCCTTCTGATTTTTCAATATTATTTTGTGGTCCTTTTTTCATTTGTTGTCCCCTGTAGCTATGGCTTGCTCTTCTTTATCTGTCCGTGTCATTGTCCCTGCTTTGAGCAATCAGTGCCCAAAAATATCTATATATGAATGAACCAGAGAAAATACAGGTTGCTGCAAGATATTAGATACTAGAGCTAGACCAACGAACGGCTGATCTGTGTTATGTTAACCCAGCCAATTACATTTTCAAATAGAAAAAGTCTGTTTTTTTTTTCTTTTCTTTTACCAGAACACTTATTTCCCATCATACTCAAAAGCTGGGGAGGGCTTCTCCTGCTGTAACATATACAAAACATAAAGCGTGTGTTTCATAAGCTTCTGTTTTGTCCCTTTTGTTCTTCTTTTAAGGTGGGATGCAGGGTCCCCCACGTCCCCCTCCTGGTCCACCTGGTCCCCCTGGCCCTCCAGGACCTCCACCTCCTGGACAGGGTCTCCCCCCTCCCCTCGCTGGCCCTCCAAATCGTGGTGACAGACCTCCTCCCCCTGTTCTCTTCCCTGGTCAGTTTGGCCAGCCACCAATGGGACCCCTACCTCCAGGCCCCCCTCCTCCAGGTTACGGCCCTCCCCCCGGTCCCCCACCCCCTCAGCAGGGTCCACCACCTCCAGGACCCTTCCCTCCTCGGCCCCCAGGTCCCATTGGACCCCCCATGGCTTTGGCTCCACCTCCACACATGCCAGGTCCCCCGCCGGGTGGACCGCCACCAGCCCCTCATGTCAACCCTGCATTCTTCCCCCCACCGGGCAACAACAGCATGCCGCCCAACGACAGCCGAGGGCCCCCAGGACCAAACGACCCATATGGACGCCCACCACCTTATGAGAGAGGAGACTACGGTCCTGGAGGCCGGTAAGAATGGAAATATAATTTTCTCTTCCTACTATGTTATTGATACCCTGGCACAAAGTGTCGCTCCTTCTATTCTGTATAAGAATTATGGACTCACGGTTGTAAGATGCCGATTTGTACTTTTTTTGTTAAAGATAGTTTGCAAAGATAACTGTCTGTTTTAATCTGAAACATAACACGTGCCCCAACCTTTGTGTGTTTGTCTGTGTTCTTGTAGGGAGATGGAGGCATCACGGACCCCGTTGAGTGAGGCAGAGTTTGAAGAGATCATGAACAGAAACAGAGCCATCTCCTCCAGTGCCATATCTAGGGCTGTGTCTGACGCTAGTGCAGGTAACACACTATTGTACATACAATACAACTATGTGCTTGTTTTGATCGTCAAGATGTCTTCGCCAACAGCAAAATTAGAAACCATCATAAATCAAAGTTTAATGCAACTTTATGTCCCCTCTTTAGCTGACTATGGCAGTGCTATAGAGACCTTGGTGACTGCCATCAGTCTGATTAAGCAGTCCAAAGTGTCAGCAGACGACCGCTGTAAGGTCCTCATCAGTTCCCTGCAGGACTGTCTTCACGGCATTGAGTCAAAAAGCTACGGCTCTGCCTCCAGGTAAGACTTTGATCTAATGCCATTAATCCATGCCATGTATCCTATGAAATATGACATTGAAGATGTTTCTAATCTATACTAAAAAAGATGTGCAAAAACTTCAGACAGAGTATTGCAAGTAATTTGGATCAAACGCAAAGGGGAAAAAGCCTGCCAGATTTGAAGCTACATGGACTACTTGGCTCCCATTTTATATGGTTATGTTTGTTTGTTTGTTTTTTTTCTAATAGGAATTGGCCATATAAGATTTTGTATTTAGCACTTTGAAACCCCTGATACACAGCCTAATCATGTTTCTTTATCTCTGCCAGGCGAGAGCGCTCCAGAGAACGTGACCACAGTCGCTCCAGAGAAAAGAGCCGACGCCACAAGTCCCGCAGTCGCGACAGGCACGAAGACTATTACCGAGAGCGCAGCCGGGAGCGTGACCGCCATCGCGAGAGGGACCGGGACAGAGACAGGGAAAGAGAGAGGGAGAGGGAGTACCGACACCGCTAGACAAGAAGGGAGGTGGGTACAACCTTTGTTATTTTCTTCTGTCATAAGCTCTGCTCTTGTCTTCTTCCTCACTGTATTTGTCTTGGACCTGGGTTGAGACAGTTGAGTTAATAACACAACGAAGGAAGAAAATTCCAGTGTTTAGTTTTATAGACACTTGTCAAAATTTGATCTACAGTGTGTGTGGTGTGTTATCATCCAAAATAACAAATTATCAAGTAAAACGTTTTCTTTCCCCTCATCAGTACAGTCACAGAGATGAAAATGCATAGACCATAAGAAGTTATAAAAACACTTTTAATACTTATGAATTGATATGTTTAAGTTTAATTAAAAAAAATTAAAAAACCCTTCAACATAGAATGACCATAAGCGTTTATTAAAGTGAATTCTTGAGGATGGGATTAGGGGAGACAAGGTAAGCAAGAAAAGACTTAATACTCTGTCCTTTGGTTTCAGGTAGGTGTAAGGTAAGTGCTTTCATCCAAGTTTCATAATTGGTGGTTACACTTGTGTTACTGTGTATATTGTCTGTCGGAAAAATGTGTGTAATCCACACTCATTGTATTCACTTTGCTCAAAGCGGTTTGTAAGAGTTGTATCTGTGCTGTGGTGTTTTTTAACCACTATCCCTAAAACAGAAAATACACTGGCAGTGAGTGGAAATTGATTTTGTGGATGAATTGTTACTTTTTGGTCTACAGGCCTCTGAGGCTGGTAAATTACAAAATTCATTAGCCACTTTATGTATTCTGATTACATTACAAAATAAAGGTACAAATTCTCTAGGAGAAAGCATGTGCCTGTGAGAAGCTGTTACATACTGTATATTAATTACGCAGTACAAATAAACTCAACTCTGCAAATTCAAACATGCAATTGGCTCGTTTAAAGTGGAAATAATCAGAATTTGGGTTTTACCAGCAGCTATGGCCAGTGGATCAAAAGTTGAGTATTTTTCAGGCTTTAATATCAAGATTCAGTACTTTGGCATTTCATTATATGCAAGTTTACAGTTTACTCTTTATTGAAGAGTGTTGTGACTGTTGAGTAGTTTTATCAGTGTGCTTTTGATAGTGGTTCCTTGACGGATTGGCTAGTTTTCAGATTTCAGTATTCCCCAATCATCAACACATTTAGCAATTTGTCTGGTCTGTTCAGATTTGATTTGTATTTTTAAAAAAATTACAATGTTCAACTTGTCAATAATGGACCAATCTGCACTTTGTAATGTTGTATACATACTACCATTTCAGTTTATTGTCATGTTTTTAATGAAGAGAAGGTGAAAATTTATTTATCAAACAGTTTCAATATCTGATGGTTTTTGGACACAGAATTTTGACAGTGTGATTGTGCCATATTTGCATGACAGTAATATTTCCTGGCATTTTACTTTTGTCAAACTGAATGTTTTGTAGCCACTTCTGAACCATTGTACCTCAATTTAAGACATTGAGGTGAAATGAAAAAATATCATGCTTATGTCCTTTTGATGTCATGTTCTGACAACATAGACGTTAGTGTGATGTCCAAATTTTGATGCCATTAGTACACATAATGTCACAGATCCTTTATTTGAGGCAAAGGTCAAAGGACATACAGAATTCTGATGGATTGATCGGTGGCTTTAAATTTTAATTAATTGTAATTTGCTTATTATCAGAATTGGTTAACACGAAGGATCAGTGAATACTTAATTTCAGTGTCTTACAAATGTATTATTGGAAAGAGTAAATTGCACGGAATATTAACTGAAGAAATCAAAGCTAGGATCAGAAAATCTATCCTTTCAGAACCCAGGTTTTTGTGCCTTGTCATCAGGCCGTCATTAAATTTATTTAGTTGAGTTGCGTGATTCAGGCACGTAGTAAATAAAAACTCTTAACAAATTTAAATATCAATGCAGCAAATTCATGATTAGATGCTCATTGTTGTTTTGACATTGATTGATACATAGTACAAATTTACATTCTTTTGATATTTTGTTTTTATGTGATTCTTGTATGTAAATTGAAATGATTCCCGTTTAGACTCAGTGTTTATTTTTCAATGGTAAATCGTCCTACGTTGGCAAGAGATCATACAAGTATTATTGAGTATTTTGGCTCATAGCATTATGGATGGCTTTTTGGATGTTGAGTCATGTTATGGGTGAGTTGTAGATACATTTATCTGAAATGATTAGCTTGTACACAACTGATATGTGTTGCTGTCAAATTATTTGAGCTAAATGTTCTTTAGGCAAATTTCCTGACACTTGCTGGTGTTTTCATGGATTCTCAGTGTTAGGGTTTCACAAATAATTTTGTATTCTTTTTGGGAAGATGTTTTCTTCCATTGCGTCACTTGCGTCAGCAGTTGAATATAATAGTTTGAACTATTTTGTGTTGTTCTGATGTCCTTCACTGCCAAAGCCTTAAGATATCTGTGGTGTTGTGTAAACCACTCCTTTATAGAGCAGAGTCTAATAGGTTACAAAGGCCTTCAGCATCTCTGTACAGTTGTGCATCACCCCAAATAATATTTCTCATAATTTTAAATGAGCTTTCAGACAGAAACTTCATTCACTCCTTAATGTCTTAATTTAGTTATGCTTGCAGGGCAGGAAATATGCTCTGTACATTAGATACATTATTTATAAATGAGCTTTTTCATAAGCATGTCCGTTTCTCTCACTGAGAAATATTAACTGGGGTGGCTTTGCTTGTGGAGTTGCTGAACTCAGAAAGCAGAAAACCATACATTAGACTGTAACGGAGTAACTCTCTCGGTAATCTGTAATGTGATATAGTGTAGAGTTGAGCTAATTTTTAGCTGTCAGCGTTAGCTGAGTTGATTTGACCTCTGTTCCACTCAATTGTCCTTTATCTACACAAGGTGTTACTGAAGAGTAATGCTTGTGTCCACTGGGAACCTCTTAACAAAAACTACTTTTTCTAATTTTGTGAAGTTAGAAAGTAGATATTTTTGTCATGATTACTTTCACTCAAAGCATTTGTACATCTTCAGAGTTTCAGCAGCTTAAAGAAAAAAACTGAGTTTGAAGAGAGCTCTGCAGTTTCAATTGTAGCATTGCAACAGGATCTACTGCAGTCTCCTCCAACACATATCTTGGTATCTCTGTGAGATAAGAGATCCCCAGTGGGCACAAGGCTGAATAACATTTGGTTATGTATAGGTTCCAAAAATGCATTTGTTGAGTATATTTTTACAAAAAATGTTTTTGCAGTAAAAATGAAATGAATGAGGAAGTGGGCAATATACATGTAATAAGGCCAAATATGTCCATTTTCCATTTGACCATGTCCAAAATCCACCTTTGCATTCAGTCTGATATCTCACAGCATGTGATTCAGGAAACATTTGAGAATTGCAAAACATATTGCTTTTATAGTAGTATGGCTATTTGTTGTGTCCGCAGATATGCTTTAACACTGTTTTATCTGTTCATATTGCCATGGGGGAATGCACAGTGTTTGTACCAGGCTGAAATTACTTTTTATACTGGACTCAGTCTGATTGCAGGTGTATTTGTGCTGGGGATCACAGCATACTATTTGCTCATGTCAAACCAGGGTCAAACAGAGTTTCAGCACAAGGTTGACAATAAACCTTCATGCCCATTTAAATAACAGGGTGAAAATGAATTGTATAGTTAATATAGCTGACTGAGAGATGGTCTAAGGTAAAACAAGGTAGAACAAGACATGTTTTAATAACGTTTCGTTACCAGGTTATTACAGTCAACAAATGTAGTTATGAAGTCACATTGAGTGGAATTGCAAGAGAAATTTAGTTATTATCAGTAAACTATTTTCTGAAGATGTGATAATTGACAGTGGAAATAAAGGTGATACCCACAGAGACTACTACAATGTCGGAATGTAATCTGAATTTTTAAAGAAGCTATTCGTAAGTTTTGCTATTGCTACATAGCCAACATTAACAGCTGTTTACTTACTAGTCTAGCAGGAACATTGCAAGTTCAGTGTCAAACTTTCAGTGGTGGAAAGCAACAATATTGTTTTGCTTCTGTTTCAGGCTGTTTAATGAACTGCTTGACCCTGGTTTGGCTCTGACCTGCTTCATTTCCTTGCTGTTAGCTGAAACACTGCTATACATTTTAATGTTTTCAATGAATTATAATATTCTACACTGATCAAGGGTTCAATAATATGGCATATCTTGTAATATGACAAAAGATTTGTTAGTCTGATATTTAGATGCAATTTGACCATTGACAAAAGTTCAGTCATGCCCATACCCATTTGTACTGGATGTTTTAGCCACTTTTGAATAATGGTGTGACAAGCAGTACCATGTAGTTTGACTACTGTGATGTAAAATATTGTTATTGTTGGTTAAACTGTTTTTGTCTGCACCTTGTAAAACAAACACCCTTCTACAGCAAAAACCTAAACAAGTTTCAATATGCATTTAAATCTTTGAACCATGTAAAATTATCTGTACTGATTTGACCTGGTGCCTGTAAGTGAGGCCAGTTCTATTTGACACCTCTGTACCCTGTAAAGTAAAGCCTCTTGTCATCAGGGTCCAATAAACTGGATGTTAGATTAATAGAAACACCTGACCAGTTAGAAGCGACTTTCTGTATCAGAATTGTTGTCATTTCATCTGAAAAATGTAACATTTCTGTTAAGAGGGATTTTGAATGGGCAGGAATATAATCAGGTCAGTTGATCATTGTTGGTAGTCCGATTTAAGCTTTGTGGCTGCCATTTAGAATTATGAAAAGATTGCCTTCCCAGTTACCTGTATCTCTCATACTGGACTTTGTCTTTCTCAGTGACAAACTATTGCTGCTTATTCACTGGCATTATGTTAACAAGACCGTACAGGGGTATACTAAATCACATTGACATTAAGAGGCTTTTTTCTGTTACATGTAAAAGTCCTAAGATGCTTTTGGCAACCACATCACCGTACCAAAGTATTATTTGCTGTGTCTGAGTCCGATGCGTGCCTTTTGTAGTTTTGTATTTTGATCTACTGTCCCTTTGCTGTGTTTTACTCCTACAATACTTAATTACCTAAAAACCAATCATGCTCTGTTTGTTAAAATGATGGTATTTGACACAGGTTGGAGGCACATTTTTCACATTCTCTTTTTGCTTGAGTCAAGTTAATAAATGGTGAGGGATTTGGGCGGGGTGAAAAGTTTTTAGGTCTTTGTCTTGTTCCTAGCATTTCAATGGGGTTGAAAAAATATTAACAGGGTGTTCCTGACGTATCTGGATCCATTTTGATTGGTTTGCAAAAAGGGAATACCATAAGAATATATTGAAAACTCACAATATAAACATTTAGTAATAATGACACAAATAAATAAAAAGCTTGAGGTTTTAAAATATCAGCTTTAAAAAGACCTAACATTAAAGGGGAGGAGGCAATGGAATTGTTGAATAGAAAATAACATGTACATATACATGACTTGCCATCGATAATAAATATTTTCAATCAATGTCTAATACTTGACCCTTTTCCCAGTAAATTTCATAATTTGTGCAAAGCACAGTAAAAACATATGATTGTACATAAAGCAGAATTGCCCTGTGAAGCCACACTATAACTACATGCTCACTTAAGCTGTCCACAATGGAGAATGAGCCATTTTCACCTCAGCATAGCTTTTCTTTTTAGAACAATAAACTTTTCCCTCATGTCCATCCCTGATTTTGTAATTCAGTGAACACTGTAGACAGCTCTGTAACAATGTCAAACTTCAGTGTCCCAAGATAAGTTTTATATATGGATCCCATTGACTGTCTGTCTTCATAAAAATGTAATCAGCAGACGTTTTTACTTCACATACAGAATGAATAGTTAAAAATCCACTTTTCAGTAACGGTGATAAATTGCATTTAATGTTGTTGGATGTTTTGCTGTGTACATGCAGATAGACTTCACCTCTGCTCCCTCGATATTTCCTGTTCAATTTTGCATGACATGTTTCTCTGTCTGTGCCAGGGTTGGGGGCAACACACATTCAACTGAGAATTTTCAGAGAGACAAATGTTAATGTACTCAAAGAAGATTGAGACTGTGTTTTTCACTTGTGTCCTTTTTCCTGATCACCCAACCCTTGTCACCACAAAATGTTAAGTAAGTTTACTTGGATGAACTCCAGCCTTGTGACTCAAATGATGGTGAATTGAACCCAGCCCTGGCGTGCACTTTTTATGTGTAGTGTAGAGGTTTATTGGTGGGTGGATGGGGGGGGGGGGGATTCACTGTGGGTGCCTCGAAACCAAACTCCACCCTTCGTTTTGACACCTTTCAGCTCACGTGGATCAAGGATGGATGGAAGGAAAAGGAGGAACGCTTTCAGTGCACCACCACCACCACCACCACCTCCTCCCCACCCTGCATGACCGGACAGGATTACAACCGCCACCTCTCCTCCACCCCTCCATCTCTCTTCTCCTCTCCTTCTCCACCCATCCTTTTCTCTGTCTGTTCATCTTGTCTGCCTGACTAAGAGCAGTGGATGGAAGACCCAGACCTGTGTAAGGCTATGTTATCCAAACACCTGTACTCATGGTAACTAAAGATGAAAGAAAAGAAACTTTCCAAACAGCTCTTTTATTTTTATGATGTTTTATTTGACATGAAGATGAGTATGTGTGATGCTTTTTGCAAAGAAACAATAAAATGGCCTGCACAACCCCCCCAAATAGAAGACACAAACATTACATCCTATTTGTTTTTTATTTTCCTTTGCCCGCCGTACTGTGTACATTCAGTTTAGAGATCCGTTTTTATAGGGTACATGTTTGATGTTTTCTCCCCACCTCTCCTGCTCATTCTCATATATTCTTTTCATGGTTAGTATGTTTGTAAATGTCTCTGCTTTTGATTAAAAACTAGATGGTGTTGTAATAAAAAATGTTTACTGAGGTACATTTGGCATTTGGTGAATTCCTCTACATGTTTGGCTCATTTATATTAAATGTACATTTTGGAGTGCTAAAATGTTTTTCATATTGAATTTGTCTACTCTTAGATCATACTTTTTAGCTGTCTACGTGAGTGGTTTTATTCCTTTTTTATTTTGCTTTGGGTTTGTTTTTTTTCTTCTTCAAACGGACACATTTTACCAGGTAAGAGAAATTAAAGAATGCACTATTTTGCAATGTGCTCTGATTGATGGATGGGATTAAACAATATATAGACCATGAACATTTGGAGGTCTATATGTTCTTGCACCTTTTTGGACGATTTCAGATAAACCAGTAAAAAACACATAATGTTCACAAAGTGGTGTCTGATGTTTGATGTATGTGTAATCACAGTGAATAGCCATCACAATATTTCTAAACCAAATTGTCTTTGAGGTCTGTTGTGTTTTGTTAATGTGAATTGCATTCATTCTTACACTTAATTCATATTCATTTAAGCAGCCATTGTAGTTACATCTTAGATGGAATTCAATTAATTGAAAAATTTCCATTTCAAGTGAATATTACTTTTTTGCTCTTATGTTTCACACGTAAAATGTTTTTGTTGATTTTTAACATCCAAACACAACAAAAGGAGCAAAGTCAGTACAGCTGATAGTTCCAATGCAATTTGTTAAAGGTACTGCAACACTGACTTTGTCATATTATCCAGTGCAACACATCTTTTATTCAACCACCCATCATATTCATGTCTTGCATTTTTGTTGAAATAGGCTGTGATTGTAAACACTTTGTGATAACAAGCTTTTAGATTGTAATGTTGAATATAATGGGTTTGGCAAATAAGCACTGAGTTACATGTATGTTTTTTGTTTTTTTGTTTTTTTTTACTGTCTCAGATCAAAACTTCAGTTATAAAAAAAAATATTAGACTTAGCTGTCCTAACATATATCTGATCTTGAACCATAAGCCCAGACAAGTTTTTGAAATTGAGTAAATAAAAATGTAAAAATTCTGTGAAGTTTTGCAGGAAAAGTGTTTTACCAGGGGTGCCATATTGCTGTTCGTTTCATTTGTTCTTCAAAACAATGGAATATGGACAAATTAACTAACACCAATACTAATAAGACAGCAAACAAACTTTTGTTAACACTCTACTGTTCAAAATGAAAAATCCTATTTTGCGTTTGTTTTTTTTTTTGTTTTGTTTTTTTTTTGTTTTACTTGTGAAGGTGAATGTTTTATATCCATCATGTCGGTTCAAATTTCCATGACCATCCCCTAAAATACTCTCCACAGGTATTTGATGTAAAAATTGTGGACCCTAAACTCCAACTAGAGGAATCCCTGACCTTTGATAAATGAAAAAATGTTAATCAGATTGTAGCAAAATCCAAACATTTTTTTAAAACCATCATGATTTCCTTGGAATGTATTTTTCTAATGGTATACTTTTAAGAGTGTTTTATATACACAAGGGTTATTGATATGAAGAACAATGTGGAAAAAGTGGGGCATGAAAGAGAATGCCATTTCTCTTGATTCCTTAAAAATGTTAATGCAGTTAAAAACCCCTACACACCCCTGCTTTTTAATTACTTTGGGTTGTGTGTGTGTGTGTACACAGATAATGCTTCTGTCCGCAGCACTGAAGGTAAGTGTTTTCAGGTCTACATGTACTGCAGAAGAAGAAACAGTCCAATCCAGACAATGTCTAGCCAATTCTGCTGCAGCAAGCCAGACCAACATTTTTACATCATGCAAGATGTTGGAAAGTATCTTTTTTGTGTTTGATTTGTTTCTTTCAGTATTTCACTTGAATAGTATAATGTAAGATTTTCTCGTTATTCATTAATTGATCTTCACCTACTTGTTCATTGTTTGGAATAGACTAAACAAGTCGAGTGTGACCACAAACTAAAACTAACTAAGGTGTAAGGTGGTGAAAACTCTATCAATGATTGGTCATTTGCAATTCAGTTTTTTTCTGGCTGCAAATGTAATAATTGATCAGCATAGTTAATGCAGACTTGCCCAATCAAAAGCAGGACTACTACTCAGCAGTTTTACAACAGTTGAATGAATGCACTCGGTGTCTATGATGAGTTGAGCTTGGTTTTACATATTGATTGAGTTAATTCTAGTTTATTTTCGCTGTGGGGTTGTTACCCTTTGTAACTGCCAGTAATATCTAGTTCTGATTACACTTTTACACATGTCCTGTCAGGGAGAGGCACATGGTTGCCAAAAGTAATCATGGTTGTTTTTGTCTCAGAAATAAAAACGTTTTAAATTGATTTTGGTTTTGTGGCTTTCCTTTGAGCGTGCATCTAATTAGCGTTATAGTGGATGTAGGTTAATTAAAATGTAAATCAGATCAGATCAGATTTTGGTCCAAAGTTCTGCATTAGGTTACTGCTCAGTTAAAAAAATTTCCCCCAAAATGCTTTCTTTGAGGTTAAATATAGGGAAATGAACAAATGATCGAAAATAATGGATAGAGATGGTGACATTTAGTAGAAACAGTCTCCTAAGTCTTGTGGGTAAACTTCACTTATGCCAAATACTGATAGGAGCTTGAGTTTAAAGGTCTACATGAGTGTAAAATATGTCTAACTATGAGCTACTTTGTACTTGGACTAAAAATACTCGAATAGTGCTTACTTTCTCTATCTCAGCTTTATGTCATATACAAATGAAGGGTGTCTTGTGTTTGCAAACAGTCGATTTAAACGCCCATAAAGAGATACCAGCTTAATAGGTTTCCCTATCTCCCCACTTTCAAATTAGACCAAACTTTTATGAGCGAATTAGTCATCAAATTTAACAAACCTAACGAAAGCTAAAACTGCGTTTGCAGCTTGTGACAGTAAACTATTATCCAGATTATTCTATATTTTTAAGATGTGATGCAGGCAGTAGTCCTGTCCTGCGATATTGCCTCCTTTAACCCGGAACCTTAGTGTCTCTATCACACTCCTATCGGACAACGAAACCCGTTACACTTAATACTTCCGGCGCTTGTTTGGCTGGCGGTTTGAAATGAGATTGCTGCTATAAAAAAACACACTTTTCGTGCTTAAATGGCAGGTCTATTAAGAGAGAATATACGCTGCGGAGCAAGGAGAGTATTATAGAGCGTAATACGGGTTCAACTTCACTCTCGCTTTACTGTACTATGTTCAAAAAGATGACTGAATTTGGTCCAGATTCCGGGGGGCGAGTTAAGGTAATGTAACGTCACACTAGACTAGTTTGGGTGTTTTTTTTAATTATTAATTCACTGTATGACTTTTAAGTAGTTTATATAACCAAGTGAACACGCCCATGTGTTTTCTCTCTGTTAACTGCAGGGAGTGACTATTGTGAAGCCCATAGTGTTTGGGAACGTTGCCCGCTACTTCGGGAAGAAGAGAGAGGAGGATGGACACACACATCAGTGGTCTGTCTATGTGAAGCCTTACAGAAATGAGGTGAGACATCTAGATTTGTAACAGGCTTTAACCAGGTCTATTAAAATACTGCACTTCATATTCACGCACTTATTGGTTGAAAAGATCATGACCAGCCACTGTCCGCTGTCAGTTGAAGGTATTTACTTGATTTTATATATAAATACTTCCCATTGTCCTTCCAGGATATGTCGGCTTATGTGAAGAAGATCCAGTTCAAGTTACATGAGAGCTATGGTAACCCACTGAGAGGTGAGTAGACCTTTACATTAGTTTCTGTTGGCAAAGGAGAGGCATTATTTCCTGTTGATTGAACTCAATTGTGTAAAAATGAAATATAACGAGTGTAATGAGAATAAGCAGAAAATATAAATGGAAATGAATAGTACGTCATATTAACAGATATATAATGCCTGTACCATTTTTTTCCCCCTGCTTTAGTTGTGACTCGGATTGAATTGTCTGTCTAATTTACCGTTTCTCTGCCTCCCAGTGGTGACAAAGCCTCCATATGAGATTACAGAGACGGGCTGGGGCGAGTTTGAGATCATCATTAAGATCTTCTTCATTGACCCCAATGAGAGACCTGTAAGAGCCGCAACTTGTAGACGCAGTCATTTCAAATAATGTGCTCCAGCACCATACTAAATACCACAAATACACACTGTGCTGATCTTCATAGTGTTGCTATATGTTCTTAAATGTATGGCAGCATTTTATACTGTGATTAGCTGCTTTGCATCTTAAAGTACACTTGATTGTACTACATAGTTGACATATCAACATATGGTATGAATTGGTATTTATTAAACACACAGTCATTTTACTTTACTTCCCTGTGTGTATGCTTTTTGATATTGATTTGTGTGTGTGTGTGTGTGTGTGTGTGTGTGTGTGTGTGTGTGTGTGTGTGTGTGTGTGTGAGTGTGTGTGTGTGTGTGTTGTGTGTGTTAGGTGACTCTGTACCATCTATTGAAGCTGTTCCAGTCAGACTCCAGTGCCATGCCTAAGAAGACAGTTGTCTCTGAATTCTATGATGAAATGGTATGACTACTTTTTGTGCTGCAGTCTACAACCCCAGTTACTATGCTGCATTAATTTTATATTCTTTTACACTGAATATGTAACATTTGGTCTCTCCTCCCTGTTAATGGTAAATGACATTAATGATGTTTTTCCACTCATGGAAATTTGATTCATCACAATGGCATGACCACAGGTAGTAAGTAGTAGTTTGATGTAATCGATTAAATGAGTCGTGGAGGTTTGGCTTTACAGAACTGTGTGAGAGTGAAAGAGATATACTTGATGTGTTTTCTTTCAGATCTTTCAGGATCCTACAGCCATGATGCAGCAGCTACTGACCACATCAAGACAACTCACCCTTGGTGCATACAAGCATGAGACAGAGTGTATGTACACAATAATAAACATAGAGGCACAAGTGTGTGCATAGAGACTAGTTTTGTGACATTAACCCAATTTTGACTTAAACCCCAGCACCCTGGAAATCATAGCATGTGCCTCTGTACTGAAGAGCAGCATTTACATAATCACTGTCATCACGCTTATGTGTGTTTGCCTGCCTGTGTCCACAGTCAGTGAGTTGGAGCAAAGGACCAAGGAGAAAATGGAAGCGGCAAAGAAGAGAACCAGCCAGGAGATCGCAGAGCTGAAAGACAAATTAAAAGCCAGCAGAGAAAACATCAACCACCTGAAGTCAGAGATCAGGAAACTGGAGGAGGACGGAGACCACAAGGAGCACTGAGAAATGGACAAACACAGCACACATGTCCTGAGCCCATCCCTGATTTGAAAGCAACAAATGCATTTTTGTGATCTACTTTGTGTTCAAAGTAATGGTAAAAATTCATTCAATTCAATTTCATTTGTTGTTGTTTTTTTGTTTTGTTTTTTACTGATCTTGTCATTTTGTATCTAAAGTAAATATGTTCACAACATTGCTTGTGTGAGTTTCCTCTATTGTGACCATACAAGCCCAGACCAGTGTTGATATGCTGGTCAAGGTCCATGAGAAATTTTCACCAAACCTTGTGCACTGCTAAGGAATGTTTTTCGGTTACATTATAATATCAGTAAAAGCCAGTCTTTAACAGCACATTATTTTCCAGATATACAGCAAAACAGGTTAAACACCTCATGTAAAACAGAGCAGAGTTTGACCTGCTTCTCTGTTTTGATCCTTCCTAGGTTTACTTTGTAGAGTCCACCCATGTACCGTTGACAGTCCACATGTTCATACACTGGATAACTAGCTGGATATGAAATGGTTTTAACAAGCAGTAAGAAGGTTCGGGATTCATAATCTGTTAGCTGCTGCAGTGAGACGTTATATAACATAAAAAAACTGATTTAAAAGGTGAAATTTCTTGGTTCAAGTAACTACAATAATACCTAATAGTACATAGTGCTTATTGCTCAAGAGTAAGAATCTATTTCTTGACAGTCAATTCTCTTTAGGAAACCGTTGGTATTTAATCAACAGCTTTCTCTGTGCAAAAGCAAAGCAAGAAATTTACTTAAAATTTACTTTGAAACCGCGCTGTATCTTTGTAAATGGTTGATGAAAAAAAAACAACTTTGCATTAAACCCGACATTTGAAGTGTCAGATTTCCGAGAGTCCATGAAGGCGTCTGGCAGGAAGTTCAAACAACTTGCTATCCGGATTCCGCAACTTCCCTCGAGCTGTACACTCATGTAGCGTAACTGTCAAGTAACTTGGCCTCCACTGGCTGTTCTTTATTAAAACCTTTTAGCAAATATGGTGAAACGCAAAGACCTAGAATGGAAGCGTTGTTGTGCAGGTCTGTACGTTTGTTACTGGCGTGCAGCTGTAAGTTTAGTAAATACCCTGGGTTACTGAAAAAAGCCAGTCTTCTCGGGTCAAAATCCCCCCAGGTGTCTCTCATTAGGAGGAGGAACTCGAGGTAAGTTTACAATGTCACGTTTTGCATGAATAGTACTAATACGTAGTGACATAGGGTCCTCCTGAGAGCAGAGAAGCCTGGCAGAGTGTTTGTCCAGGGTTTTAAGCCGTTATTCCAAACCTTTTCTCCGTAAGTATTCAAATTAAACTCATTCAACCAAATAGAAATGTGCACGAGCAACAAGTCTTTACTCTTTGACATTGCCAGTGCTGATGACACACGACTTAAGCAGTGAATGAGAGTGGGTATGAATTATTAGTTTACTTAAATGTAATGATTTATTAGAAGACCCTTATAAACGCCACTCGTGTACAAGTAGATGAAAAAACAATGGCGATTAGACCCTTTCAAAAGTAGTGCTTTTTTTAGTGGTCACGCTATAAACTAGCACTAAATTTTAAATGTTTAACATGTACAGCATGAATATATGAATAACAAACTAGATAAGCCAAGATTAGAAAAGCGTACAATTTATTAAGAATAAATATATAGGGCCTACTATTAAATTAAGAAGGAGTAAATGAAATTATTAACTGAGCAATGTATATATATTAAGTAAATCAGTCATTCAACTTTTTTTTCAAATTATTTTTCATTAGTAGTATCAGTTATAAGAATGCTAATTTTCTTTACAAAATTATTCGAGAACTTACCTGTACAGTGTACCTGTAGTGGCGGTTGCAACAAGTAATGAGATAGTAAATTTAGAAATATTTTTTTTAAATAATGTTATTATTATTAATTTTACCGCACTACAAATGATTTGACTTTTTGTGACTATTTTTAGTCCGTTTTTTGATTATTTGTAAAACTGCCTGCAGTCATACCAGGAGTTTCTCGGCGGTCACGTGATCAGAGGCTTTTCGCTCAGACGTCACAGACGCAGAGCTGGTACCGACTAATGATCCTCACGGTCCTGCTGCATGATTCGAAACTCCACGTCTTACCTTCATAAAGACATTCTGCCGAAAGCTTTTACTGCAGCCGTTAAGTTTCTTATCGATACTTGCTAAAAGATACGTTATTGTAATGTAAACTGTATCGGAAATGCTCTACGAACCGTATAGCTCCTAATAATGATACCCTGCTCCTCGCATTAAAACAGTGTATGGCGCAAACGTAAATGAAACAAACATGTCTCCTTGCTGAGGTAACAACTGGTGGTATTCTTTTGCGTTCAAGTTTTCAGGTAAGTCGGCTGAAAATGGTCATAACTTGCACGATGTGTAACATGTACCGAAGCTTGTGGTACTCGAAAGTGAGTGTATGGTTGCCTCATGGTTCCCCCAGTGGCATTTTAATCTCTGTTTAATGCTATCACTATTGTTCCCCTAGGACACATTTTGCTTGGCTGGCTTTTGTTTAAATTGGTTAGTTTGTTTACTGTATTGCTACACTACCTACCTTTGTTTTGTAAAAATGTTAATAATAGAGCATATGTTTGTAGCAAACACTTGTTCTTTCCTGAGTGTGCAAACATGTCAGAAAGGAAATAATTGAAGAGTAAGCTAAGTTGTGAAACCTCTTGTTTATCACTTGAATTTACAGTCAGTGTCACTGGGACAAGACTAATTCATGTTATAATTCATATCAAGACTTGTGTGTGATACTGTCATGACACTTTTAGAGACACTTGACTGTTTTCAGGAGGTGAATCTGAGTAGTATTTGAATGTGATTATCTGTAACTGAGTTTCATGCATATTTATGTCCTGTGTTTCTCTTTTGAAGAGCTGTGAGACAGCCCTGTCTGCTAACTCCATGCAGATCTAGTTTAGCTTAACTTCAGAGATGAGAGGGAGTCTGACTTCAGGCTGTGTTTGTTGTTTATATGACCACATCAGGCATGCTTGGTTGTCTTCCACAGAGCTCCATTGTTGTCCCGGTGTCTGTGTGTAGTGTGTAGTTAAAGTCCATTCATAAGGCTGAGTGCATCATGAGGACACTATAGCTGTAATGTATGGAGTTCCCCAAAGAGGGAAAGCGCACAAATGACTTATGTTGCATTACTGTATTAATGCATTGGTGTGTACACTTGGTATTCATGCATTTCTCCACTATCCTCTCTGTTGATACGGGGTAGCAAACAAATGCATTTTCTCATGAAGTATAAGTGCATGAAGGAGTCACTCACAAGTGGATAGTAGTTAGTGAGGGTGTGTGCTACAAAGTGATTGCTGTGGATAATAGCAGGATAAGGAAGGGCTGTGATGTAGTTCTGGAAAGTGTGTAGGTGTCAACATCACTTTGTGTGTATACTAAATGTAGGTTTTTCTAAACTAAAATATCAGATTCACTCCCCCCCTTTTTTTTTTTCCAACTTTTTCTACAGGAAGAAAAATTCCCTTTTGCCACACATTCAGTTCAGGACTCATGTTTAAGAAATGTGTGTTTTACCTGGGTCACCTCTGCAGTGAAGCAGGCCTGTAGCTTAGTGGAGGGCTTAACTCATGGTTTAATGTTGCACCACCATTTTTGAGGTGGACATTGTCCAAGAGGGAAGTAGCACAAGCCATTTCAGCTGTTGCACTTGGACTGTAATGATGTAACAATATGAGTTGTATGATTGCAGTTTGTCCTTATCACACCAGTTAATCATGTGGCCTTTTTTTTTTTTTTTTTTTTTTTTAACATGAAGATACCTGCATAGATTTTGTAGCCTGCATGAATCAGCATGCTAGTTACTTCCTAATCAGTATTACCCAAGAAAAACAGTAACTGTTTGTGTCGCACCCACAAGGAAACACGTTTCTTAATCTTTCCTTTCAACAATATGTTAAGAGATAAAAGTAATGTTAAAACCAGACACATATTAGCTCATCTAGCAAGGTTTGAAACATAGTTTAACCATTGAACTTAGTGCACTGTGGAAGCACTAAAATGTCACGTCTGATAGTAGTTTGATTTGAATACAGTGAAGATGATCCTGCTGTCTGTCTGAATACCGTCTTTCTGTTTCATATGCAAACCATTATGATTCAACTGTCAGCTCTTTAATGAGCTGTTATCATTGCAGTAGCGTTCGGGTGAGTGAAAGGAGACAACTTTTGACTTGGTTGTTGGTTTGAACGTATGACAGTCCCCACCCTCAGCAACTTCTTCTTTAAGCAGAGCATGTGACCCCTGCCTGCTCCAGAAGAGCAGCTTGAGATGTGCCAATGAAAAACTGAAACTTAAGTGTGTTTGTGTTCATGCCAGGTGCTGTGGTGTGCCCATGGAGAAGCCATCATCTTCAGGTAGAGCAGCTCTGGAGGAGAGAAAAAGCCTGGTGGAGGTAATGCATCCTGCTCATCATCTTAAAATGAGATGGTGCCAAGCTGTGGTCTGGCTAATTATAACTTGTTTGACAGAATAAAGAAGAGGTTCGTTGCACTCAAAGCTGCAGCAGAAGCTAAAAATGATTAAAAAGTTATTATTAGTATTAAGCATTTTACAGGTCCTTGCTAAGATGTTGGAGCACAACATAATGGCTTAATGATGGCTGGCTATATGGTGCTCATTTCTTACCCTCAAATGCCTTGGCGACTTCAAATTGACTCCATCACTACATGTGTGTGTTTGTACCTCTACTGCAGGATGAAGTGATAAGAGGAGCTGAGGGTGGAGAGGTGGATCCTCAGACCCCAAGGAAGAGCAGCTCCTCCCGCTCTTCCCGCAAGAGCTTCCGCCTGGACTATCGGTTGGAGGTAAAACCTCACTTCTCATCATCCTCCTGTTGCCTAAAACCTGCTGCTGACACACACACACACACACCTGCTCTTCCACCTTCACCTCAACTCACCTGAAACCTCTTAATTTCCATAAACTCCTTCCGTCAACATGGCCTCTCTCCAGTTCTCTGTCTATTGTGTGTTGTATAGTAAGTTTTATCTTAAACTCTAATCTGACTTTTGAAATTACTTTCTTTAACAAGCGCCCTACCCAGTACCTGGCTCTTAAAAGGAAGTTTTTACCTTGCCATTGTCACCTGGTGCTGTTCTAGGTGGGAACTGTTGGGTCTCTGTAAATGATATTATAAAGAGAAGTACTAGACCTGCCCTATTTGGAAAGTGCCTTGAAATAACTTATGTTTTGAATTGGCGCTATACAAATAAAAACTGACTTGACTTGAATTGACTTGAACAAGTGGCTAAAATGCCATTGTTTACTTTGATTGCAGGAGGAAGTTACAAAGTCCTGTCGAGACAAACATGGCCGCTGGATCAACCCCTGGCCCACATGGCGGTTCCCTTCCTACTCAATGCTGCTGAGGTTCTTCTTGTTGGATAAAAATCACAGCAATGTGCCAACTAATAAAGAGGTGGGTATTTATTAGACTAAAATCTAAAAATATTAACCATTTTTATAAATATAATCACCCCAACTTAATATATACCTTACTATACACTCACCAGCCACTTTATTAGGTACACCTTGCTAGTACTGGGTTGGAGCCCCTTTTGCCTTCAGAGCTGCCTTAATTCTTCATGGCATAGATTCAACAAGGTGCTGAAAACATTCCTCAGAGGTTTTGGTCCATATTGACATGATAGCATCACGCAGTTGCTGCAGATTTGTCGGCTGTACATCCATGATGTGAATCTCAGGTTCCACCACATCCCGAAGATACTCTATCGGATTGAGATCTGGTGACTGTGGAGGCCATTTGAGTACAGTGAACTCATTGTCATGTTCAAGAAACCAGTTTGAGATGATTTGAGCTTTGTGACATGGTGAATTATCCTGCTGGAAATAGCCATCAGTAGATGGGTACACTGTGTTCATAAGGGGATCGACATGGTCAGCAACAATACTCAGGTTGGTGTTGCATTTAAATGATGCTCAATTGGTACTAAGGGGCTCAAAGTGTGCCAAGAAAATATCCCCCACACCATTACAGCACCACCACCAGCCTGAACTATTGATACAAGGCAGGATGGATCCATGCTTTCATGTTGTTTATGCCAAATTCTGACCCTACCATCCGAATGTTGCAGCAGAAATCGAGACCATCAGACCAGGCAACGTTTTTCCAATCTTCTATTGTCCAATTTTGGTGAGCCCTTGCGAATTGTAGCCTCAGTTTCCTGTTCTTAGCTGACAGGAGTGGCACCCGGTGTGGTCTTCTGCTGCTGTAGCCCATCTGCTTCAAGGTTCGACGTGTTGCGCATTCAGAGTTGCTCTTCTGCATACCTCGGTTGTAACAAGTGGTTATTTGAGTTAGTGTTGCCTTTATCAGCTCGAACCAGTCTGGCCATTCTCCTCTGATGTCTGGCATCAGCAAGACATTTTCACCCAGAGAACTGCCGCTCACTGGATATTTTCTCTTTTTCTGACCATTCTCTGTAAACCAAGAACTGGTTGTGTGTGAAAATCCTAGAAGATCAGCGGTTTCTGAAATACTCAGACCAACCCATCTGGTACCAACAACCATGCCATGTTCAAAGTCACTTGAATCACCTTTCTTCCCCATTCTGATGCTCAGTTTGAACTTCAACAGATCATCTTGACCATGTCTACATGCCTAAATGCATTGAGTTGCTGCCATGTGATTGGCCTATGAGGTATTTGCGTTAACAAGCAGTAGAACAGGTGTACCTAATAAAGTGGCCGGTGAGTGTATAGCCGAGGCATATGAAAGACAACCTCACACAAAACTCAACCTCTGTAATACTTTCAGGAAGCTGATACACACTGAAATCTATTGTTACTAAAAGTATGGATTGGACTGTTGTCTGTCTGATAAGAGCTGAAATTTATTCTGATGGCAGCAGTCTCTCATACTGTCAGATGACTGAGCTGAGTTAAATATTTTAGTTTTTTCCATTTAAAAGTGATGTATCAATTTTTTTTCAAGCCTATGTAAGATTGTAGTATTATGAGCACATCTTTCTAATGCCTGTATGTAGAAACATTGCCCTTTGTTGACTTTCACAACCACACAGTATTTATAGCAACTAGTGGAAACCTTGCTGAGCTCAGTGGGGGCTTAACAGGTTTCAAAGGCTGCTTTCACGCAGCAATAGAAAACTGGTTAACCCCTCATTTGCACAGATTGCACAGTGTTTTGTTGTTGGATAAAACCTAGAAAAATAGGCGTACTAATCAACTACCAGAAAGGTCATAGGTCAAAACTGCAATGTGACAACACTCTCTAAGCATATAGTGCGTTAGGATATAGCCTTGTAAACTACATGTACAGCATAACTACTGTGAAGAGAGAAGTTAAACAAGTCACACAAAAGTAAGTTGGTCATAGACATTTATTAGTGTATAGCTAGAGATAGAGTATTCATGTAAACATGGCAACAAAAACTAAACTGCTAACTGCTGTGTTTCAAGAGCAGCCAGAGAACAGTAACTTTCTTCTTAGGGTGAGAGGGGATAATGGTTTATTATTGAAAAGTATGATCAGACAAAGCCATAAGACTGAAACACTCTATTCCTCATAATAAGAATGTGATTGTTTTATTTGATGCAAACGCTACCTGCTTCCCCTTCATCTGTGTTTCTGTTTGCTTTCCTCTGTCAACCCCTCTCTGTTGCTGGTCCATCCTTTTCCTCCAGGTTCTGGACAGTGAGCTCCCAGTGATGGAACCATACTTTGTCCAGAACCCAGACCTCTCTGACTCTGGTCCAGGTCTGAGAGTCACCTGGCTGGGTCACGCCACAGTTCTGGTTGAAATGGATGGACTGAATATTCTGACAGATCCAATCTTCAGCCAGAGGGCCTCACCTTTCCAGTTCATGGGGCCCAAAAGGTACCGAGGGCCTCCCTGCACCGTGGAACAGGTTCAGTACTTCCTGTTTTTAATTTTCCCTTATTTCAGCAATTCCCTTTAATTAAAACAGTAACAAAACAGAATTTGTTTGATTCTTTCATACCTGTGTTTTCTCTTGTCCTCTCCTGCCAACAGCTGCCAAGGATCGATGCTGTTGTCATCAGTCATTCTCATTTTGACCATCTGGATGCTGGATCTGTTGCCAGCCTTAATGCACGCTTCGGAGGGGAGCTACGCTGGTACGTGTGATGGGCAGTCATTGTTGTGATCAAGATCCACACTGTACTGTATTTATTGCCTGTTGAGTTGACATTCTGAACCACTGTCTTTTAGTGCACTTCTGCGTTTGGGGGAAAAAAAGTCAAATGTACCTTTTAAATAAGAGCAGTGTGTTTTGTAGGTTCGTGCCCCTTGGCTTGATGGACTGGTTGGTGAAAATGGGCTGTGAGAATGTGATGGAGTTGGACTGGTGGGAGGAGAACTGTGTCCCAGGTCATGATGAAGTGACATTTGTCTGTACACCATCTCAGCATTGGAGCAAACGCACAGCTCTGGATGACAACAAGGTAATTATTTTCTCTCTCTAATAAAATCATACACATAATTCTTTGGTCAATTTTAATCAAGTAGAAACTTTAAAGCAAATTCAGTACAATACAAATATGTTCATTTCCTGGTTGTCTCTTTCAGTCTTTATGGGGCAGCTGGTCTATTTTGGGTCCAGACCATCGATTCTTCTTTGCTGGTGATACTGGCTACTGCGCTTCCTTCCAGGAGATAGGAAGGCGCTTCGGACCATTTGACCTTGCAGCAATCCCCATCGGAGCGTATCTGCCCAGGTATAGATTCTGTCTCACTAACTTAGAGTAATAAAGAAAGAACCTAGTAGAAATAAGGTAAGACTGTAAACTCTTATTTCCTATATTCTTGATCCTTACTTACTTTTCTAGATTCTTAATATCTAATTAGATAGTAAGAAAAAGGATCTAGAAAGAATATAGGAAATAAGAGTCTAGATTCTTTTATAAAAGGACCACACACAGCCAGACCTGTAACATTGAAATATTCCTGGTGTTTAAGGGACGTTATGCAGGGGCAGCATGTGGATCCAGAGGAGGCTGTTCTAATTCACCAGGACCTTCAAGCCAAACAGTCTGTGGCCATTCACTGGGGGACCTTTGCTCTCGCCTATGAGGTAGGAATGCACAGAGATACAGTAAGTTCTTCATGTTTTGTCTCTAACAAAAAGGCAGTACAGTTCAGCTGCACCACAAACTACCTCCTCTAAAATGACTACAGTTGAATCAATACATCTATAGAACAGTTTACAAAATTAGTTCAGTGGCCCAAAGAGCTGCCGTGTGTGTGACTGTTCTCACTGAGGAACTTTAGAATCAGAGAGGGGTTATAGAGGTAAAAACATGCCCAGACAGTATATTATGTTCTGGCAACACAACATAACAAAAGGTATCATTGTTTGTAAAGCTGAAAGACTTTTCCTGCAGTGGTTGTGGTTTATTGGCCTCTGGCTCACTGCTCTGCTTCAGTGTTAGAGACTAGCTAACAAAAGCACTGAGCTAAAAATTAACCTGTTTTTAGGTTCATATATGGCAATGTTCAATGATGGTCTTTAATACTCACTTTTTCCCTGGTCCCCCCCCCCTTCGTCTAGTACTATATGGAGCCGCCGGTTCGTCTTAGAGAGGCCCTGGAGCAGAAAGGACTGAAACCAGACTCCTTCTTCACTTTGCATCATGGGGAGTCTCGCCTTATAGCTTCACGGGAAGGAGATGTCTTTGAATGATCCTCCACTCTGCAGTGTGCTGTGGGCTGAACTTACTGTAGATTTGTGTCTGTAACAAAGTGAACATTTTATCATATATAGATGGACTCCAGTGATTAAAGTATGAAGTGCATTTGTATGCAGCTTATTCCAACTTAAAATTAAAATGTTTGATACTGTTTACATACTGAATGTTTGCCCTGCCATCACATGGTCATTGGTGAACAGTACTACCTGGAGGAGCTGTGACTCTACTATAAAAAAAATGGGTTTGTTAGGTTTACACAATAAAAAAAAGTTTTTAATTCTTAGCTCAGTCAGTGTGGTATGTACAGTTGAAAGGTTATTGTATTAGTGTGAGAAAAAAACTTTTTTGTAATTTCAAACTGTTATAAATAATCATATTTAGAACATGGTCTGCACACTGGCTGGAGAAACTTTTCAGCCCTGAAGAGAAAATTATTCACAAACAAGTTAAAAACAACCACTGAAAAGAAATCTGTGTGCTTATTATCACTGGTTTGTGTAAGCTTGCTCATCAGTTGACCAGGATTGTTTTTCTGATTTTATTCACATCAGAAAGTCAAATCAGAATTAAAAAAAAGAGATGCAATGAGAATTAAACTCAGATGGAGTGAATGGTGCTGGTACCAAGTTACTATAAATGGCTTGAACTTTTAAAATGGAGATAGTCATGCAGGTGAAGTTTGTGAATAGGGAACAATGACAAACCTTCACGATGAAGCTGGGCAGGAGACTGCAGGCACTGTGATGCATCTTCATGTTCACACAGCTGGACATAACTTCTTGTGGTCTGAAATATCAAAGAGAAAAACTGTTAGAAAGTTATTTAGCCCTGTTATTTTCCAAGAGTGGTGATGGCTAATGCCAAATTGCAGTGCTATATTTTTGTTTGTTTCAGAATGTATCTTGGCTAATCCAAAACTACACAAGACAAAGTGTTAGAATAAATCTGTTTTTGTTGTCTGTGATCTAAACTCCCATCACCTGTATGCTTCTAGAAAATGCAGCTGAAGTGTCAGGTTAACAAGTTGAGCTGGGTTCAACTTTGTGCACTGCAGATGTTGTGCACTGTTCCTGTGTCAGACATTTGCTTTTGATGCTCTGAAAACCACAGCACAAAGACCTTTTTTTCCCTTTCTTTTAGTTAACAGGTATGTTTGCTTCAGAGAGCAACAGCAGAATCATTTTAGTGCTTAAGGGATTTTATTATAATTATTTTTTATGTTATATTTTTTAATGCCACAACTTTTTTTTTTTTTAAAGCTAGAATGTAAGAACTGTGCAATGTTGAGTTAATTTAATAGCCTGGTTATAACTACATGGTCAAACAGGGCTAACTGTGGTTTACATTGGATCCAAGTCACTGAATTTCCCATTAAAGACACCATACGTTTAAAATGTTTGTCTTTTGTTCTTGTTAACAGCAATATAGCGCAGGACTAACCAAACAGTAAAATACAGAATTATTATTAGAAAATATAGTTATGTCTGATGGAAAGAGATTTAGGATATCATAGAAAGTTATTTAAAAATCCCTTTAAAGTATACTTTAGTTGTCTATTTCCATGAGTGCACTATTCTGAGTAACAAAACTATTTAGCAGCAAATCTTCAGCCACTGTGATGAACATCAATGCCATGATGTAAAATTTAAAGTGCTACAATCAAAAAAGAAAAATAAGATCAGACAGCATTTTGAGTCAATCAGCAACAATTAAGTTAATTTTATATTTAACAACAAACTTGAGGTATAAAAAGATTCTACTCTTTCGATTTCTCTTTGTCTCAGTATTTAAACTGTAGGGCCTGTAAGCTGCCAGAGTAACTGCTCCGTGTACTCATTGGGCTGATGTGTTGTATTAACACTGTTGGGGCCAAACACTCTTAATGAAAGCACTTCTGATTAAAGGATCTGTTCCTACATTGAGGAAATAATGTCAAAGAGGTTAAATCTACTTTAACAGAACAAATAACTGCAAAAAATGAAAGCAACTTAAGGAGATAAAATAATTTAACTCCTTATTTTAAGTAGATGTAAGCTACATTGTAAAGTGTTGAACCTACAATGTGTGATTTTTGTCCATCAATACATCTGAAGTCCACATGTGTAGATATTAAATGTGTCACTGTTGACATAGATATGAGGTATTTATCGGGTACAGATTATAGTTTTTCTCAATCGCTTTGATGCAATTCACTCATCAGAAACATCATTCACATTGTCACTGATAAACTAAACCTAACCACCAGTGCCTCAAGAATTGGAATGTTTCGATGTTTTGATAAAAACATGACCAACTTTAGAAAAAGAGAATTGCAGAAAATATATAGTAAAAAATATTCAGACACAACACTGTACTAGAGTTACAACAGTAACATTTTGGAAAAAAAACTATATTCTGTTTCAACGTTGCATTAGTGTTTACTGTGCTGTGTACATTCCAAACCCTCAACAGATCACTGTGCTGTCACTTTAGAACACAAATGTAAATACAAGCCTATACATTTAGAACAAGATCTATCCAAAAAAGTGTTTGGCATTTGATGCAAATACTTGATTTTTTAGATATTTTTTTCAATGCAGTGTTTCATTTTGCAGCAGATTTGTGGCACTTTGCATTTTGTGTGTGCAATTTTTGGATTTGTGTGTAGGGTTTTGAAAAAATGAGACCTAGTTTAGAAAATGTGTGAAAGCAGCTGAAAAAAATTGTATCTGTAAATTCACAATGTAACTGCTGTAACTGAGGAAAGCTAAATAATAAACGTGGAACTATGCATCGGAAAATAGACAAATAGAAATATGCAATCAAACATAACGAACACAGCATCAATTGTATGTCCAATAATTTCACAAATTCACACCACATACAATATGTGTGTGTGTGTGTGTATATATANGAAAATGTGTGAAAGCAGCTGAAAAAAATTGTATCTGTAAATTCACAATGTAACTGCTGTAACTGAGGAAAGCTAAATAATAAACGTGGAACTATGCATCGGAAAATAGACAAATAGAAATATGCAATCAAACATAACGAACACAGCATCAATTGTATGTCCAATAATTTCACAAATTCACACCACATACAATATGTGTGTGTGTGTGTGTATATATATATATATATATATATATATATATATATATATATA